AGAGAGAGGAGAGAGAGAGAGATGACGATAGATATAGATATATATATAGAGATATATATAGAATATATATAATGTTCTTCCTCTACCCCCCCCCCCAATTTTTGCACATGTCGAGGAGCGTGTCAGGCTACATTTCACTGTGTGTTATACTTGTATAACTATGCATGTGACAAATAAAGAACCTTGAACCTATGTCAGCGCTGGGAGCTGGGCTGGGTCCAGGCGCAAGGCAGCCGTGGCAGCCTTGCGCATAACTGCAGCATAACTAAGGGAGGATTCAGGGTCACCTGGTCCAGCCCTAACTATATGCTTTAGCAAAAAGGAAAGTTTGAAGCCTGATCTTAAAAGTAGAGATAGTGTCTGTCTCCTGAATCCAAACTGGAAGCTGGTTCCACAGAAGAGGGGCCTGAAAACTGAAGGCTCTGCCTCCCATTCTACTTTTAAATACTCTAGGAACAACAAGTAGGCCTGCAGAGCGAGAGCGAAGTGCTCTAATAGGGTGATATGGTACTACAAGGTCATTAAGATAAGATGGGGCCTGATTATTTAAGACCTTGTATGTGAGGAGCAGGATTTTGAATTCTGGATTTAACAGGAAGCCAAAACAGGAGAAATCTGCTCTCTCTTTCTAGTCCCTGTCAGGACTCTTGCTGCAGCATTTTGGATCAGCTGAAGGCTTTTCAGCGAGTTTTTTGGACATCCTGATAATAATGAATTACAGTCGTCCAGCCTGGAAGTAATAAATGCATGAACTAGTTTTTCAGCGTCACTCTGAGACAGGATATTTCTAACTTTAGAGATGTTGCACAAATGGAAGAAAGCAGTCTTACATATTTGTTTAATATGTGCGTTGAAGGACATGTCCTGGTCAAAAATGACTCCAAGGTTCCTCACAGTGTTACTGGAGGCCAAGGTAATGCCATCCAGAGTAAGAATCTGGTTAGATACCATATTTCTAAGATTTTCAGGGCCGAGTACAATAACCTCAGTTTGATCTGAATTAAGAAGCAGAAAGTTAGCGGCCATCCAGGTCTTTATGTCTTTAAGACATTCCTGCAGTTTAACTAATTGGTGTGTGTTATCTGGCTTCATGGACAGATAGAGCTGGGTGTCATCTGCATAGCAGTGTAAATGTATGCTATGTCTTCTAATGATGCTGCCTATGGAAAGCATATATAATGTAAGCACAATTGGTCCTAGCACTGAACCCTGTGGAACTCCATAATTATATGTGAAGAGGACTCTTCAATTATATAAATAAACTGAGTGTATTAATTCGTTGGATTCTTGTTCAATATTGTTATTACTGAAAGGAAGACTAATTGCAAGCTGTTATCAATATCAGACCAGAGACAAGCCTTTGATAATGATAAAAATGCAAAAATGTGTGGAACGGCCTAAGCTAAAATGAATAAACATTAAATGAATCAGGAGCGGTTTATAGATGCTGTGCCTAAATTAGACTCAGTGATCAATGAAAGCACTCGGTTATAATTCCCGTGTCTAAAGTTCAGTTTGCACATGTAGGGACACAGGTTTAAGACTTTAAATGCAACATTTAACCACTTAGCTTAAAGCATCATGGGACTCTTTGATAGCCTAAGATAAGATGAAGGTAAATAAACCTGACTCCAAAGACTTCCCTGAAAATTCCAGTGATTCGTCTTGAACAAAACAGACGGAAAACCAGCAGCACTACTCATCGTAATCATGGCTTAAAGCAGAGACAGGCTGCAATTTGGTGTCGGGTCCACCAGGTGGAGCCAAATCATCATCAACACGAGTCATGCATCAAGAGACGAGACGCCGAGTTAATTATTTCAAAGTAAATTGTGTGGTATGCATAGTCAGCATATCTAAAGTGCCATGTAAAGATTTAAAATATAATGCCACATTTGACCTGTGACCTCTCTTTCAAGGTCAATAGAGTAATATGAAGGTCAAAGTGATGATATTGCTATACAAAGCTGGATTGATAACATAAAGGCGTATAGAGAATGATACATGGGGATTTTAAAAGTTGCATTGCTTTGGACCCCTGCATTGGCAACATTTAGGAAATGATACTGCTTAATGGGGCTTGTAAATATCACACTATAGTTTGACCTCAGACCTCACTTTTACATTTCAGATGCGCTTTTCTATATATAATCAAAATCAATATGTATCGTAGACTCTTGAGGTCTTAAAGCTCATTCCATATGACCTGTCATATCAAAAGAAATGAGATGCAGGTTATTCAACCAAAACACTTTTTGATGAGAAATATTTAAGGTAAAGAAAAACCAAGCACGCTATGAAAAGTATTGGGAAAACAAACATTTATAAATATAAAGAACAAAATAAATAATAAAGAAATATAAATTACTATTATCATTGATAAAATAAATATAAACAACTGCATTTTTAAGAGTCGTTCAGTTTTCGTGTGCTTTTGTCTTATTTCCACTTTCATGTGTTTATTTCATCATTTGTTTTCACTGACAGTAGTCCTCTACAGATGTTTCACTGCTTTTTCTTCTGGAGAAAAAAAACAGTACTGGGATGTCAATACATTAAATTTTATTTGAGGTTTTCATTAACGTTTTTTGTTGTTGTTGTTTTTTCACCTGAACCAAGTATTGTAACATTTTCAGGGCAGTAAGATGTTTGCATCAAACACTCAAGTTCCTGCATGTTGCGATGGAACAGACATGCCCACAGGCTAGAACATTCGAGAACAGATCGCTTAGATTTCTAAGAACTTTGGGTGTGTTGTTCAAAACTCTTCTGACATCACCTAAGTCACGAGATATTTGTCTATTTGAATCACCTGATGTGATGTTTCACACCAGGGATGTAACAAACCAGAGATTGAGGGTGGAATTATGAACAAGAATGGACAAAGCAACGTGTTTTGGCAATTCTTTTTGCACTCCCAAGACTAGACGAGAACTTTTCAATCACTACCCTGTCTCACTGTACTCAGATGGTTTAGACATTATTAATTCCAGATTATGAGAAAGAACCAATGCACTTTGGAAAGTGAAAAGGAGCATCTAAAGAAGTGTTGGGCATACAGTACTGTACTGAATATTCATTAATGAATATAATCAGAAGGGCTTTCCACAAAAGCTGTCTAAAATAACTAAAATCAGTCAAACCTACTTCTTCTTCTTTTTTTCACTGTTGATAAACAAAAAATGAACAACCCACAAACCAACATCAACACCGAATAACCAAAGAAAAGTCAGTTGGCCGCACAAAAAGAAAATAAGTCATTTAAACTGTAGGATTTGGTGACATCACTCGAACCCAACCCAGCAACGGAAAATAGATTGGTCACATCTATCAAAACCAAAACAAATAACAAAAAACAGGTTTAAAACATCCCATTTAATTAGCTGCAGTGGCTTGAAGGAGGAGTGAGACAGAGAGACACAAAACCAGTTTTCTAGCTTCAGTTCTGGATGTTTTTTCAGGCCACAACACATCTTGTGTGTACTGGGAGTGGCACACTAATAGTGCTGTGCAAAAATCTTGACAGGCTATAAATTATATTTCCCTAGGAAAATGGTAAACATGTTGGGTGACTTATTTAAACATGCAATGATACATACAAATACTGTATATAAGTAAAAAAAAAAAAAAGAAAGAAAGAAAATCCACCAAGACCACATGTACCTCCCTCCTGTCCTCCTCTCTTATATATTGATTATGATTTGAACAACATATTTCAAATTTGGATTCATCACTCAGTAAGACCTGTTGCCACTGATTTTCAGGCACGTTCTTGAGTAATTTGGGACACACCCCAGCCTTTTCTCCCTGTTTCCCTTCCTTAAAATTAGCTGTGTAACAGCCAACTTTACACTGAGACCATTTCATGAGGCTTTATGAGACTTCAGTGAATGTTAGAAGGATTGATTGAAGGACCAGATGCATCTCTTAATTGCTTATTTCTTTACAACATTTTAAAGACATGACTTTCAAATACTGTTGTGGTGTGGATAGTATCAGGCCTGACATTTATTGTTTTGTCCACCCATTTTCCAGTTTTCTCAATTTTAGGGTCAAACGGCAAACAGCGCCGTTATATGATAAATTTGATAACTCTTTGAAAAATCACCTTATTGTTGCAGTAATTAAGAGTCCTAACAGCATACACAGTAAATAATATAAATAAAAGAAAGAAGAAAAACTGAAACATAAAGACACAAGAGAAGGAACATGTTTCTTGATAAGGACGTGTATAGGATGGGAATGGTAAACTTAAATATGCAAACAGTGAGATGTAATATATAAAATAAATACATGAACGGGATTTTTGTTTTGTTTTTTGTTGGGGAGTTTTGTAGGTTGCCTGTAAAGGTTTTGGTGTGGCTGTTGTGTGTAGACATAAGACCAGATAATCCCTTAACTACCTTTGCTATGCTTGAATAATTCATAGTGTTAAGTGGCCTAACAAACTACAAAATATTCTTCTTAAAATGAGTCTGAAAATTAGAGGAAAAATAAGCTAATCTTCAAAATTAAAAAAAAGAAGAAAAAGACAGAGTCAGAAAGCCTGGATCACTATTGCTCAAGACCGCTTCCAAGAACGTCTGGCTTCTTGAAAGCAAATTATAATGAAGGCTGGCCCGAGGCTTTTTCAAACAACTGCACACACACCACAATTTTTGTTTTGCTGTCTTTGTGAGGCCCTTTAGTTAGTCTTTAGGACTAAGGTCTTGCTCTAAGTCTAAGAAAATGACATTTTACTTAAAAGTTGTGCCTTTTACAAAGCAGAAATAGAAATAAATGCTATCTATACTGACCATTTGCAGATAAAAACAACACCATAATATTAAGAAAACTACCATGTAAGTATTCTAATAAAAAAGTTTGAACTGGATTTGGAGTTGTTTTCTCTGCAGCACATTTGGTGCAGAGACGGTGGTTGTATCCGACAGGTTTGGTGTTTTGGAGCAGAACAAAAGCTGACCTGTAATTTTCAGGTTACACCCTGCCCCACACTAAAACATCCTCATTCTTCATCTCAAACTCTGCCCTATAAATACAGCTCTGAAAACAGACGTCAGACACAAATTACTCTGCTTACTGCATCGGGTATGTAACTGGCATTGTTGATTGCTTGTGATGATTGATTGCAGTAAAAGTTTAACACTTAATTTTCTTCTACTTTTGTCTTTTCCAGGTGAGAACTTTTCACTGCACTTGTAAACAAGACAAAATGAGTGACCGTAAGTCTCTGATTCAGATATCTGTTTATATCGAGATCACTGACATGTAGTAATTAGGCTGAAAAACTATGTGCTACTGCTGCATGTATGTTCACTGCACTTGTGCACAGCTCAATGTTTTATTTGCACTTTTCTACTCTGCAATTAGACAGATGTGCAAATGCAGCTATATGTTGAATTCTTGTTCAAAATCATTTCAGTGTTTGATTTAAGAACAGTGTGCTCTTTATTTAACATAACGTCAGCTCTCTCTGAGAGGCAGCATTGTCTATACTGTCGTTCTGCAAAATTATTTAACACATTTGCTTTATATTAAGTCTTCTGCTTCTTATGTTATGTCTAGTATTTCTGTTATTATGTCTACTATTTTTTAAGTTACCAATTTTGATTTTTTTGCTTTTCCAAATACAGCCAAAGCCCAGGTGAGTGAATTCTTTTGGCTTCCATTTTTTCACACCTGTGACAAACAGCATAACAAACTTGTTCTAACGAAGCAATCTTCCTCTCTAAAAAGCCAGCTCCGGGAAAAGGATCAGATTGTGAAAGAAAACTTTCACTTGTGTACTTTCCGCTGTTTTGCTTTACTGGTTGATGCTATTTTGACATTTTCTCTTCCTATGGTTGGGATGCCTTTTTTTAATTACTTTATTCCCTCTGAAATGGTAAATTCAAATTTTCTCTTACAAAGTAAGTCGATTCTTCTCATTTGAATCTTTTTGGTTTCTATATAAAATATTTCACAAGTCACACAAAATAAATCTGTTAAGTTTAGTTTTGTTGCCAGGGCTAGGTTTCCATTTCACGCATTAAATGCTGCAGAGGAGTTTGAGTGTCACTGCTCAGACAAAACTGCTTTTGTCTGAGTATCTTTGCAAGTTGTTGTCACATTTCTCTCTGTAGCCCTGAACCCCCTTACTTAGATACAATTTAAATAGCAGTAAAAACTAGCAGAAATGGGCACTCCGTCTTCAACACATCTGTGCTGGCCATGCTGTGCATAAAATCTCAAAGGCACAAAATGCCAAAACAAATCACGGAAGCAGTTGTGACCTCATATTTGGCACATGCCATAATTTGTGAGGGTGAGATTTGTGGGGCGTGCCAATTCACAAGAGATCACCGATTCCCATAAAAAACAAGCTTGGTATCCAACCACGGCAAACAATTTTGAGGTTGCTGCAAAGTGAGTTTCAAGAAGCATTTTCATTTTTTTCTCATGGTTGTTAACAGGGAAAAGGCCAAGAACATGGACATGGACATGGAAAAGGCCAAGAACAAGGGAAAGGAAAAGGCCAAGAACATGGACATGGACATGGAAAAGGCCAAGAACAAGGGAAAGGAAAAGCACCACCTCCCTAATAAATAATGAATCATTATTCTGTGGTCATTTTTAAGAGATAAAAATGTCTTTAATAAACTAAAATAAAAAACAATGTGTAATTTGTTCATTTAAACATGAGTTTCTAGCAGAGCCCACAGCAGAACATTTATTCAAAACATAAAAGCTTTTACAATAACCATTAACCATTTGCTGATGACTAAAACGACATGACTAAGAAATACAAAGTGCCTTAAGTGAAGGAAGTTCTGCATAGCTTCCGCAGATATTGAAAAATGGGATAATCAATATAAAAGGGCATCAATGCCAACATGCTTTAAGACAAACATAAATTGTTATGGCAGTATTAAATATAAAAAACAATCTTAAGACCAGTTTTGGAAGTTTCTCTATATGGGATGACTTCTTTTTACCTTTTGCTGCTTCATGGAGGCCTCCTTCTTCCAGCTTCCTTATGGCGATTCCTATTGGGCAACATGTTTACATCTTACACACACAAGATTACAAGATTTTGATATATACACCCCAGTTCAGTGAGGATTTGATAATCTGTTTGGGGTCTAGGCAAACATTCACAATGGGGCTCTCCAAACAGCATTAGGCACCATTACACAATCGATTTACAGACATTTACACAATTTATTTACAGACATTCATTTATTGTTTTAAACAATACTTTAAAGACTGCACCTTTAGAGCTGATGTAAGTGATTCAAGTTTGTGCCTGTTCACATCGAGCAGACATACCAAGATGTAGCATGAGTCGAACTTCACTCCGTTTAAGTATGCAGCTCTGATGTGTTTCTGTATGGCATTGAAAAGCTATGAGATTGATTTTTTTAACAAAGTATCAGATGCAGATATGTCCCAGAAAATAAATAACTCGTTTAAATTTGTAAAAGTTTTGGCTGCAACCTGCAAAACTCTTTCTCACCTATCATGAAACATATCAGGCGACATTCTTTTGTCTCGTAACACACCAGCCAGCAGCTTGCACGATGCAAGACATCAGATCTAGTTTTGTATGGATGCATACAGATAGTGATGGCCCGCTTGAAGCTGACGCTCCGGAGCGTGTGTCGAAAAAAACAACACACTGGTTCAGAAGCACTGTGTCGAGGCTTGCTTCGTTTGGCAAAAGTCACGTGACCAGTGACGTCCGAAGCTTCATTACGCACGTAACTGCTTCGGTACCTGATTCAAACGGATATAAGGAAGTGAATCATCCACGGGATTCGTGGAGTGTGTTGATGGTGACAGAGAGCGACGAGGTGATCATTCCACTGACAGATATGGAGCCAGCGAGGAAGAGAGGACGTTCTGGCGTGTGGGAATATTTTGAGTTGATTTTGCTCAATTCATTTTATCTGCCGAAGTGAAAAACTTGAAATGTCCAAAATCATGTTTTCATAATGTAAATATCATTACAGCATATGACTGTAGGAACACTTCCATGTGAATTAAAGCTGATGAAGACTACAAAAATGTATTTGACACTATACGTACATTACATTGCTACAGTTTAGAAAATCATTTTGTTTATTGTTTTTAGGTGATAGTCTGCAGGACCCAGGAATACCTGCATATCTACCAGCTTGCAGTGTAGTTCCTGCACTCCACAGCCTCTTCTGTTCCATGCAAGTGGATTTTCTCCAGGGCAGGAGAAACTATTTCTAAGAAAAGAAACAGACTCAGCCAGCGCACAGTAACACTAATCCTCTTTTTAAATGTAAATAACAAAAGGGCTACCTTACATAGATCATGTTTTTACTTTGCAAGTTCTTGATTAGGGGTGGGTTTTGATTATCGCCTTTCTGATTACAATCCATGCTAAATTGAATAAAGTGATATTGATTCATTACAATCCTGTGTCGATTTGTAAATTAACGTTATTATGCCTGAAACGCCAGCATCTCAGGTTAAACCTCACAACATGTCGTCAAACACCATACAGCTAAAACAGTAACTGGGAGCAGGTTTACGGATTCTGCATACAAACGTAAACACAGAGCGCGGACCCGACGCGTCAGAATCAGATTTTGGTGTGTCGTCGGGTCCGCGCTGTGTTTGCCTCTTTTTTTTTCGCTGGCTTCTGCAGCTGCAGGTTTCATAACTCTCTGTTTACATCTCTAATTAAGTCTCACATGTGTCAGCTTTCTTTTAATAGATACGAAATTATGGATATATACTGATACATGACCAGAATTGTAATATTTCTGACTGAGGCAAAACTTTCCAGATTCCAATCAAATTGAATCGGATCCTGTATCGAATCAAAATGATTCTACAAATCAGTGACGATGCAGCCGTACTCAGCCCCCTAAGCATTTTCCCTTTCCAGTTCACAATCAATCCCACCCCTAGGTCAAAAATATGTATAGGAATTGGCCTAATCTAATATTTTGTATGAACCTGTCCAGCTGTCCAGTGATTAAACGACAAGTAGATGGAGGCAGGACTTCACAGCAGGGGCATACTCCATAATGTGCTGTGCATTCTCATATGTATATTATATATATTGCTCACTTATTGTATTTACCAACATCAAGGAGTTATGAGCAAAGAAAGGCCACACCATAGTGCATGTTTAAATGGGGAAAGTTTATTGATCAAAATGTATTACGCAGATACGCATTACATTTTTTTCAGCCCCCCAATCGAGAAAACAAAACCAATTACATGTTCAAAGCAACGGAACGGTGGCCCAATATCAGAGAGAACTCCACTCTTGAGTGAGAAGCGATAATTGAGCAGTCCGTTTTATTTTGCAGATTCAAGCTGCTCTTCAAATTTTTCACCACCAGATGTCACCAGAGAGGACTGTGTTGAAAAGCTTCGAGTAATGAACCGTTTTTCCATACAAGCTTCAGTGCTTCGGAAAGCTTCATTTGGCCATCACTACATACAGATAATGAAAGGTGTGCACCAAGTTGTGTATAATTATCGTAAATACCATACAGGAACTGTTGCTTTCTCTCTGTGAGCTCAACACTCTTCTCCCCACACACACACACACCAGTTCCAGCATGTTTGAACTGATTACGGTATTTTGGAATATGTAGTTGTTTAAAAATGGCTCCAAGAGGCCGTCCCAATTTGTGTAAAGCAGCAGTTCTTCTCAAATCGTCACTGAGCTCCTTTGACTATCTTATTCTTAATTAAGTGCTTTTGATAATCACTAACAAGATGTTAACAAGCCTTGACCAAGTTAAAAGGCATTGTCGAACCTTCAGAAGCAAGATTTAACTTATTAAAAGATTTAACTGACTAAATATTGCAGTCACACAATGACTATTTACTATTTACAGTCATTTCATTGTTGCAGTCAATCATTAAAACCTTAAAATGACCACTGTGTGAAAATTTGACAGTAACTGTAAATTTATTATAGTAATATATTCTAGTAATATCTTAGTAAAATTCATTTGTATGTGACTACAACCCTCAGAAAGGCATTCTAAAATACAGTAAGACTCAAGAATTTGGATTTATTTACAAACTATAAAATAAAATAAAAAACAATAAAAACAGCATTAACATCAAACAAGGGATGGCAAAAAGTAAAAAGGGAAGCTACAGTCACAAAAAGCCTGGTTTCCCTCCTTGAATGCCGTCCAATGTCAGAAAAGAAAATGACCACAAAATCAAACGCAAAAAAAGTGGTTGGAAGATGTTGTGCAGGAAAGAAGAGGACCAGTTTCCTCCTCCAAGTCCAAAGGCCATTCAAACACATATTCACAGTTTCGATCATTTATTGCTCATATCTTAAGAATTCTTTACAGACTAGCAACATGTTAATGTTTACAGTGCGTCTCAAAGCATTTCAAGAAGGTGGCTGTCAGCGGCTTCTAAAAAAGGTATGATGTCTTTGTACCTATTGTTATTTTTTTGGTGACCATTTATGTTAACTGGGAGTTATAGGAGAATGGCAACACAATAACTTTGTCTCATTGAAAGCCAAACAAAAGGAATCTGACTCACCTGGATTTACCTCCTATCTTTTACAAAATAAAAATAAAAAAACTTCACAACATAAAAACACTCAGTGCTGGTCTCTTCAAATTTCGTATCCTTTCACTTGTGATTGGCCAACTGTGCCCAGACCAGCCAATAAACACATGCCAATCAACTTTGAACTGGCCAACAGGTGGAGGCTTGACACCTGAAAGATAAAAAGAACACCAAAAGCAAAGCCACATCTCTTGGCACGTAACACTTGGCTAAATGAAATGATTTGGCTTGCATCAGTCACAGGATGACCATTAACCAATGCTCACCCTTGACGGCAGAGCAGGCTGGTTATGAGCCAGGAACATGTTTGCAAAGAGCGACGAACTAAAACAAATGAGCGTGCTGTGTGTGCACTGTACAACAACGCAACAAAACATTCTCTGTCCTTTTATTAACTTTGTATTTATTATTTATTACTTTATTGTTTTGTTCTTATTACTTTATTATTATAGCACTGGGAATAAATAATAAGTGAAGGATTCTGGATCCCCACCACGATAGATACAAACTTGTGGCCACAGTACATACAGTATTCTGGAGAAGGTATAAATGTGACTACCCTACAATCTGAGCAGCAGCAGCCCCTCAACATTTTCCCTACCTGATGACAGTGATATAGTACGATGCAATTCCATATAAGATTCTTGATGAATGCAGGATGTTGTTATTCAGCCTGGTTCTATGTGCCCAATTTAACTTTGAACAC